TTTGAAGATGTGAACGAAGATGATGAACCGATAGAGGGCTGCAATTTGCAGGAAGACAACTGCTTTACTGAAAGATTCGAGCAACAGGTAAATCATTTGCAAAAAATCTGATTACACCGTAATTTTCGTTCTAGGACAGTATCGTATTTGTGGATCCCGATGTGAAAATGGGGAGGAATGCTTGCAGAAGGTACGGTTTTCCGGAGGTGGTATGAATGGCAAGTAGTTCTTATGGTTCTGTTTTTAGCTAATGTCAACGAGTAAACTGTCCGACATAAATGAGGAAACCGAAGAGATAGTTTTTGGTCCAGAAGATGTTCCAGACGACCACAGCTATCTCTTCGATGTTAGCATTACTTTTACTCGATATAATTACCGTATTCTTATATTCAACGCGCTAACTTACAGAATGCTGAAGTCCACGTACTGAACGAACCGCAGCCTAACTTCTGTTACGAGGTACCTGAATGAGCATACGAATGGCAAGATATACGTTAGAAGAAATGGAGGAGTTATTTGCGAGTTTCAATGATTTTCTTATTATTTGATCGGCTTTTCCATTCCACTTCTTCTTTATTGATTTTTGAACCTCTGCTAATGCCAGGAAGTACGCAAATTTGTACACTTGCACTAGCGGCTGGAGAGTATTTTCCTTCAATCTTATTGGACTAGTTTGAGTTCTGGGTGTTTTTTGTGTCATTGCGCCTTCCCTCTAGCTCCAGAAGTTTTAGGTCACTGATTATACTGAGCTTTCAATTATCTACGTTTTACTGATCTACACTGGGTGGGATTTCTCTTATCACAATGTAATTACCTTATTTTATTGTTTTTATTGAAGATTATTGTGATGCTATTTATTGTTTATTTTCATTTGATACATAAACGCCTCTTCCATTACTGCTCTGTGCTTCATCCCTTCTGCTTCGCGCATAGTTCACGCGATCTCATTGCCTCGCGATTTTCCCCATAAAACAACTGTTATGAGCCCATTGCATGCCGATCGTTCTGCATTTCGGTTGTGATAATTTTCCGATAAGACTAGTCGTAACTAACTATCACAACCGAAATACAAGGTGATCGACATGCATGGACTTGTAACTGTTGTCTTGTCGGGAGAACCGCGAGGCGAC